GTTATCTGAAATAAAGTATGCAAATGAATTCAAAAAATGCGCCCCATTTTGGAGACAGTTATGCTAAAGGCATTATACAGTAGCTACTCTTTCCTCTTTGCGTATGCTGATTCGCCTGTTGGTCTGGCCGATGTAAGTCTTGTCACAATAGTGGCATGGTACTTCATACACTCCTTGGGACTTCAGTGGTATATGATCCTTATCCGTTCTGGTATGAATGAAGTTACTATGTTGTGTTGGCGGAGAATTCTGCTGATTTTGTCTGTTGTTCCTGCAATATTAGTAGTGTGATTGTGATGACCGGTGTATCTTGAGTTTTTCGCTGTTTCCGTGTGGTGTTGGAAGCCGCTTTTATAATTTTCTCTGAGTAGTTATCACTTCGTAGAGTGGTCTCGATGGTGTTCAACTCTTGTTGTCTGTGATCGTTATCTGCCAGCCCCCTCGAACTTGTAATCAACGTTATTGCCACCGAGTAAATCTGTTTCAGGTGGTGGTGGGAATCTGCGTTCATGTACCCATTCGTGTGTGTAGGTTTTTGATATACCATATGGCCAAGTGTACAGCACATCGAGAAATGCGAGCTGGTTACACACTTCAACTTCTTTCCTGAATTTGATCCGTGAATGGATTTCATTCAAGTGACTGAAACACCTTGAAAGTTTCTGGTATCCATGTGACGAAATCACGAAAATGTCATCGATATATCTTCGAAAGAGTTGAGTTTAGGTTTTAAGTGTGACGTTGCTATCGCTTTGGTTTCGATTCCTTCCTTAAAGAGATTGGCAACAATGGATAACTATAGCGAGCCCATTGATACCCCATTCAATTTGTATGTATCGTTAGTCGTTATAGATGAAGTACGTGTTTTTGATGCAATGTTCCGCTAAAGTGATGATATATTCTTCCGGTTTGTATATCTTTTTGATTATTCCTAGTGCCTCTCCGGTTGGTATCTGGGAGAATGAAGAGGTTACAAGGATGTCGTTTGGACTAAAGGATATGTCCATAAAATGGTCGATGTTGCGTACATATGAATTGACCTTTTTCGCATGAGCAATGTTTTTCGCTAATTTATGCGCTGGTGAACCTATTGAGCTCACGATTGGTCTAAGAGATGCCCCTTCTTTGTGGACTTTGGGGAGTCCATAAAGTTTGGGGCACTTGGATGATTTCTCTTTTGGAACCAGATGTCTTTTGATTTCGTCGTCGAATTATAAATCTGCTCATCTGTGATTGGCCTCGAAGGTAGAGAGTTATGAGACTGGTCAACTGTGCTTGGTCCGAAGGTGTGAGTTATAAGTTTATTGCCTATTGGGAAAGGGAGTTTGTGGCCTTCTACTTCTCAATCTTGATATAAAAAATGTGGGAATCTCCCAAAGGAAGAAAGGAAACAATCAATTTCAAAAATCAACTCTATACAAAGATATGTAGATTATGCCAAGAAGTACTTTTCAGATAAACACTCAAAGAAAAAGCCCTTTCGGAAAAATTATTTTAATAAAAACGGATACGGATAACGTTATAAGTAATTGAAATTTCACCTCTTTCATCAATTATACTGTGTAGGAATCCTATGAATGATATCTGATTCGATTCCATTACGAATGTTTGGAGTACAAACGAAACAGAGAAAAGTGTTTTTCGTATAATTCAGCGTTTTTTGATTTCCATGCTTTCGAAAATATACCTTTGTATGAATATAATTTTTCACAATTCCACTAGACTTCTTTGCACAATTTCAATATTCAAGATTGACGTTTTCTTTGAATTTTTTGTAATTTTGTTTTTTCAAACTTTTTTCCAAAGTTGATTTAATTTCTTACACAGCAATAACTTTTGATTTTCCAGTATTTTTTATTCAAAATGGGACTATTCATCCATTCAATTTCATCTCATTCAATCCTCTGACGACTATCATTTTGGTATGATTGTATTGCGAATAATTCTCTATTCGAGGAATTGCAGTTCACAAATAATGGATTTCTCACCATATATACACTCGCTATAGAAATGATGTGCTTTTACCTTCCTGCAGCGGTCCATTGTTAACTATATTTAACGTGCAACAAAGGGCAGACATTCTCAAGTGTCATGGAATTGGATCAGTTTGAATACGGGCAAGTACAAAAGGGACGGTATCGCTTGCGCCACTTTATCGCCTTTCCTCCGTTATTTCAATGTTCTATCAGGGGATGACTAGATTATTGAATACGTTCAGTGAGAGAGATTTTGTTCATCATCATCAACGAGACGTGTTCACCTATTATTATTATTAATAAATGGTGTCCTAATCTTTATCGTTAAAGGCGGTACCCAACTGAACATGTTGGGTACCGCTCGGTGTACTTTCCTCAACGGACGACTAGATTACACTGGTTAACAGAATTTTTTTTTAATTGAGTATTTCTATGACCGTGACTAAGAAAAATAAAACAGTTGGATCTAGTTGCAAACTCCAGCAGTAGTCTGCCGTCATATGTGAGTTTCCCCATCACTGATAACGCTCTCCTATTTTCCCAATATCCTAACGGAATCTTTCATCTTGCTCCTCACTAATATTGCCCAGATATTGTGGAAATCGATCTGAATGTGAGTGTAGGAAGTGGATTTCCATCCTCATGTTGCACTTTGGCGATACCATGCAGTCAACAAGCTCGATTTGCTCATCAAATTCCTTGTTATCTAGGAAATAACTCTTAACCGAAACAAATGGGTTCCAAGCTTCGGATTCGACTTCAGTCAATGTTTTGATAAAATGAGGATCTTTCACGAGCTGCCTTTGAATATTCTCTTCTTGATTCTAGAAACTTGTGTGAAACGAAATTGAAACTTTCACCACTTTTGTCAAGCACAAACTGTTTCAGTTTGCCGAGTTATGAAGTGACGGAAGCACGAGCAGTTTCAGCTAGCTAAAGGCACGTTTATAACTTTTTTTGTTCCAACTTTCAGCTGGCCAAACTTTTCGTGACCAATGGTGTTTGTCACGACTGTCCCAGAGACTAATAGAACAAGGGCACTTTGTGTCCTCCCCTTGTTAACCTAGAAGAAAGTTCACCATTTTCAAAGCAAAACAAATGATCCAGTTGTGATCTTGATACTTGATTTTTTCGATACACTCAGAAACATTTGTATTTTCTCCTCTCAAAGTCGTCGAATGCGCAATATCTTAGCGACTGTAGAAATGTTCAGTAAAATTGATTAACTGGGTCTCTCAGTCAANTGATTCTGCCAAGACATATTGGTGACCCTTTTAACCCCAACAAACTTATCGAAGCAGAAAGCGGAATTGTCTGACTCCAAATTATTATATCCGGTTCGAAGACATTTATCTTTCTGGAGAAAACCGATGCTTGGGTTGTTGTGGCATTGAATTCAACCTGGTTACTTCCACCCCAATTCGAAATCACTTCTAGATCCTCAATAAGATATGCAACCGCCTCCTGCCGGTGGAGATGTGCCTCCGTAGCTGATGTCCTGGAATCCAAATGGAATGACCAGACAAATAAAATATAGGACCTGAAGAAGCGATAGATTGGCCAATTGGAGCAGAGTGACGAATTTGATTTTTGACCGAGAGATGCCGTTAATCCATTCTACTATACATTTCTCCAGTCGTTAAGATGATCTTTTGGAGCCGCGCAGAGAGTTGAAGTGGAATCATCAGACACCTGTGCAACGTCGAAAGATTTGTCGCAGAAATTGTTTCATTTGGTTGGGGCGACTTTCGATAGACTGGTTTCGGAGTATTTGCTCTTCGTTAGTACCAGGCGGGTCATTTCAGACGGAGTGAACCGTCTGAGTATCCCGAATAAAGAATATTGTGGAATTCTCTAGAATATTTGCTCTAGAACATTTGCTCCCCAGATAAAAACCGAAAGCTTTTTCATAAACAAGGTTATGTGACACTATAAGAGAAAATAAACGTAGGCAAATGCATATATCTTTTTATAACCATGCGTAGCCAAGTCGAGGCTAACAAATAGAGTAACGATTGGTAGGCTAACCAATAAATTCCCCGATATTAATTTAGTTTCTAGTGATTTGAATCTATCAATTTCAATGGTCATAAACATCCACCTCCGTCAAACGTGGACAATAAATCAAGCGCTATTATTGATTTAATGTCTGCATATGAATTCGTTGATTCCAATCATGTAATATTAACATACTGGATTCAATGTTCTGAACTGAACATTTTCATGACAACTTGAATGAAAAATATAGCGAAATTGTATAGATTCTTGAATTTTCAAATATGATTGAAATTCATCATTTGAGGAATTGAAATAATAAATTATGTGAACTAGCATCATTGTTGACGGCTTCGATGGAAGCAAATGATGGATGCGGAGAGGAATTCGATGACATCGAAATTGATGAAACATTGTTCCTTTCATAGATTAAGTATTCATGAGTTATTTAAGGTATTAGTGGGAGTGAGAAATGAGTTCGTTGAGTGTAGTGCATTAGTCAGTTGATGTTTAGAATATTATTGAAATATAAGG